GGGCATTTTGTCCACACTTGGCCGCCTGTAACAAGTGCATTGTCCCGAACTGCACAAAGATAAAGAGACTTCTGGCCGGCAGAGGCGGAGGCGCGAGAGGATTCTCGAGCAACCCTCCTCTCTCTCCGCTCCCCCTTCGGAGTTTCCACGATCTCGGTTTTAATATCACGACCGATATGTAAATAAGTGCGCAGGAGTTTGTAAGTGCAATAGAGAAAAATCGAATTTTCGAGACTTCGAGCGCGGGAGAAAAATTTTAAATGTTGTTTGTGGCGGTGGTTTTTAACGGGGCAAGTTTTCGGAGGAACGGAAGAAAGATCGGGAAGGAAGTGAACGAGACGGAAAATATTGGCAACGGATGATTGTTTGCACGTTTCTCAGCCCATACGTTTGGCCGGGTTGTAACGAGTGCTTTGTGGCTAGTGTAAAGCGCAGGAGTGCACAAAAGTAGAGATTCGCGCCTGACTTACTTCACGAGGACCCTCGAAAAGCAGCCGCCCTTTCTTCGCTGGCCTTCTTTTCATAGTGAGCCAAATTTTAATATAGCGTGGCTGGAAAGAGGCGCGTCACGGGGAAGCTCGCGCTTTATGGATTCTCTTTCATCGGGCTGAAACTTCATTTCGAAGGAGGGATCCCCGGCAAAGAACGTAATTAAACCGGAAAAGTTACCGCGGTTATATTGTTTCCAACTTATCCACGCTCCACGGACAATTTTGCATTTCTCTGTTTTTCGATACGGAAAAGTATGGCGTAAGTAATCCGTAACGTTTTAAACGATAATCGATCCGATCTTTGAAAAATCCTCCTCCTTTTTTTTACTTTCTTTCATCGAATACGTTCATTCGAACACGAGAGATTTTTGATTTCTCTTTCTTTCTCTCGATCAACTTGTTGTTGTTCAACTTTCGAATGACGAACGCAGCGGGTCACGATACATTCGCGACAGTCGTCGAGCGGATATTGGAAGGGTAACGCGGGTGTTCCATCCATATTTGCGCGAAGGAAGTTTCGCTCGAACGATCTCACGAGCACCCTTCGCACACCCCGTTGTTCCTTTCAACGACTTGTTGTTTCCGTCCCATCGAAACGGAAACAATGCTTTATTAAATCGGGTTTACCGATGCGAAATTTCATTTCGCGCGAAGAGATCTACGCGATATTAATAAAATCGAGAAATTGCTTCGAAATAGCTCGCCGTCATTCGCATACGCGAGTGTGTCGATCCTCCGATTATTTCCGGATCATCGGCCTTCTGCGCCGCCGATGTCGTCATCGCTCCATTGTTTTTCACGTCGCACATGTTAATTACCGGATGATTAGCTTACCTTAATCCGGAACACATGCGAGACGGCACCCCCTCCGCCCCCCTTCTTACGAAGGCAAATATTCCAGACAATATTCCGTTGGGCTGGACAGATGCGAGACGCGTTAAATGGGAGGGCGAGTAAAAAGAATTAATAAGCCTCTCGTTCGGTGGTGGCGCGAGGTGCGAGATCGAAAAAGCCTCGAGAAGGAGAGGAGGTGGAACGCGACCGATAGACCGGCCGTTCTTGACTTTGTAATCGGAGAGGATAAAACGACGGCTTAAGTAGCGTCGGCTAAATGTGAAACGGGAAGGCTACGACGTACCCCGAACACCGCCCTTCTCTTTTTCTATTCTTCTTTTCCTTTTTTTTTTTTCTTTCGAAGTCGCTCTCGGTTTTCGAGAGGAAACCACCTCGCGGGGTCAACGCGGGAGGAGGGGGGTTGAGAGCGCACCTTCGAAAAGAGTGGAGTCGTGTTGCATCCTCCTCTGGATTATCCTTGGCGCGGCCAGCTGCCAACCGCGTCGCATCTTATTTCCATCTTCCGCGATCGGTTTCGATATTATCGTCTATATATATATACATTCAAAGTATATTTGGGAAAGTTTCCATTACATACAACATCCACTACTTTCGCTTACAAAACGAGACGATAGTTAACTCCTCTCCCCTCCCCTTCCCTCTTCGAGCCGCCTCTCATATATATATATAATCGGTGAGGAGTGTAATTGAAAAGTTTTACGTAATACGAGGCGAGGTTTGAATATATCAAACGCGGAAACGATCGATATTAAATTGAATACTCACCGTGAAAATTCATGCGCGTCCGCGTCGTGATGTCGCGAGTGTCGGGGCGAACGACATTAACCCCCCACAAAGGGGGAGAGTATGGGGAGGGAAGAGGGAGGGTTTGCAATTAGCCTGTTGCGAATACGTGGAATGTGAATTTTGAATTTCAGAAGCAGCGGATAGTTCCTAGGGGCGGAGGCGGTTCACGTGGAATCGGCCGCGAGGCGGGGGGGCGGTCGAGGTGGTGGGGGCAGAGGGAGTACTGATGTGGCCGAACAGCCTCGGCGGTACTTCCGGCTGCAGCGGGGGCGCCGGCGCCACCGATCTCGGGGGCCTCGCCGCCTCCACCACCTCGGCCTCTGATCTCTTCGGGCCCGCCGCTTTCGGGGCGTCCGCGGCCGGGCCCTACGGCGCCCTCAAGACCAACCCTTACGTCAGCGCCCTCGGTATGCCGCCCATCGAGGCCCTCCACTCGACCATCGGATATCCAGGGTGTACTCCCGCCGGTGAGTCCTACTACTGTGAGTGCCCCCTCATTGCATACTATTTTTTCTAGATTCTATAGACTCTAGTCTCTATCTCTTTTCTTCTTCTTCTTTTTTTTTCTTTTTTTTTTTTTTTTATTCTTTATTCAGAAGTTTCTTAAGGATAAGGTTAAGAGAGGAAGGTTAAAGAAGGAAGGAAGGAAGGAAGGAAGGGAGGGAGGGAGGGAGGGAGGGAGGGATTGAGAAAGAGAAAAGGGAAGAAAAGGATTCGGGGTGTTTTCTGTTAAAGGTAATCCAAGAAAGCAGCGAAGGGAACGGACGACTTTCACCCGGGCGCAATTGGACGTTCTCGAGGGTTTGTTCTCGAAGACCAAATACCCGGATATATTTATGCGGGAGGAAGTGGCGATGAAGATCAATTTACCGGAGTCGAGAGTGCAGGTACGTGGAAGTAGCGAAGGAAGCGGCAAAGGAAGCGGCATGTTCCCTCTTCCACCACGGTGGTGGTGAACGAAACGGGGGAACGGAACGATACACCGGCATCGGGCCGGCCGGTGTTTCGTTACGACCGAGAGGGGTAGTCATGCACTGTCGGCATGCGGATAGTCGCCACGACCCGTAGACGTAGGAGCATCGATTTATTGGATGCCCGTGGATAGCGTGGGTGTTAACCAAGTTAGTAGTTCGCCCTACTATAAGTGTCGCTCGTATTCCCTTGTTAAAAAAAAAAAAAAAAAAAATTTCGAACGAATTCCACCGCTGCCCCCTCCTCCTCGAACGCTACGTTCCGGGATGTTTCGGTCGCTTTGAACGATCGAGAAAAGGGAAATTTCCGTGACAAAAATGGTTGAATGGCGAACGCAACGATTCATGGAATTGTTAACTCACCACGGTGGTGTCACGAACGAATTCGTGTCGTCCGAATCGACTTTCGAAGCCAACAGGCACCGAAAACGTGTCCATGCATATTCCACCCTCATCACGGGCGGAAAGGGCGCGCCGCATCCGCAATTGCGGGCCAACGCACCTGGCCCCAGCCCCGTAAATGAATTGAATGGGTCCAACCAGGCCCATAGTCTTCCGCACGTTCGTCGCCGACTGCAAAACCGGAGCCTTCTCCTCTCCGGCTCCGGTTTTCTCTCTGACCCCTGCGCGATTTTTCAATCGAACGGAGCAACCGGTCAACGCGGATCGAACCACCAATTGTCGACTACTTTCGACTCAACTCCGAACACGAATCTTTATTATTATTTTTCCTTCGTTCGTTCGTTCTTCTTCTTCTTCTTTCATAACATTCGATCGGAATAAGTGGTATCATATCGATATTTGGAGGCGACGAGAAAAAGGAAAAGTGTTTAACGTTAAATATGGAGAGTTAAAAGTGGAGAATTCGTATAGAGTTTATAGAAACATACACCGGGGAGCAGTTTCAGTGGAAGAACGCGGGTTGCTCGTGTCGTTCCCCAGAAAATCCGTAGAAACCCAAGCTCACCTCTCCGCTTCTAACATTGATCGCGCAGGGCTTCTCTAGGCTCCTCTCTCTCTCTCTCTCTCTCTCTTTCTTTCCTTCTCTCCCTCTCCTCCTTGTCCTCACCTCCCCCTCTCCCACCCTTCTCTTTATCTCTCGTTCTCTCTCACCTCTTTATTCTCCCTCTTCGTTCTTCCAGCCGTTTCGTTCACCCGCCTCCTTCTTTAAAGGTCGTTCTCGCGTTCTGGAAATCTAGGAGGGCGAACGACGGATCGAAGGACGAGTCTGTCGCATACTTGGACACGAAAATAGCTGATAGTCATCTGTAATCGAAGTAAAATCATTCGTCGGTTATGTAATAATCTTTAATATCGTCTTTTCTTCGAAACCGATATTTCGGTAATCAACTCATCGATGATACTTACTATTTTTAATTAATATTGGCGCGGTGAACGAGAAGAAGTTGGTATATATATATATGTATATCATATCCAAGTTTGAACGAATAATCGAAAGTTAGGGAAATTAGAGCATTAACGGAAGTTTGTTCACACGTCAACGTGTTTACTTTTCGTCATTATACCGGAGGGCACGTACGATACGCCAGATTTCCGCTCGTGTTATCGAAGCCTTCATTGGTAATTGATAGTTACGTCGGTGCTACATTCCCTTATAATTGGCTATTACGTCAGCTTTGTAAAAGCTTTGTACATCATTTCGTGCTCGTTTCCTAGTGAGACATCCCCTATATGTACTTTATTGCGTTTCGATGTAAAAATATATATTTATAAAAGCTGTTTTCAATCATGTGCTAAAAAAGAGAGAGAGAGAGAGAGAGA